GCCTAGCAACAAGTCTGTCCAATTATACTCACTAAAATTTTTTCTAAGGTTGCTATAATGTCCTCTCCTAAAGTCAGGTTTTTCATTTGCATCGACCGTCATATTTTCTTCCAGATTATAACGCATTGCATACTTTATTCCCAAAAAGACATGGTCACTTTTACCCAAGGGAGGAAGGTACTGAATGTCAAATATTTCTTCCTCCTTCCTGGTAAATATCAAATCTAGCATGGAGGGAACATCCCCTTCCCTCATCCTTGTAGCTTGTTTAACATGTTGATACAAGAATGTTTCCAGGATGAGGTCTACAAATTTACAGGTCCAGAAATCTTCTGTTTTAGCTTCACATGCTTCCCAGTCTAAAACATTATTGCCAACAGCATTTGGTGTTCCCAGGCGGTCACCCATCCAAGTACTAACCAAACCCAACGTTGCTTAACTTCGCTGATCGGACAAGAAGCAGTGTTCTCAAGGTGGTATGGCCGTTGGCCATATCACGTTTTGCATACCTTCGCTAGTGTCATTTGGTGTTCCCAGGCGGTCACCCATCCAAGTACTAACCAAACCCAACGTTGCTTAACTTCGCTGATCGGACGAGAAGCGGTGTTCTCAACGTGGTATGACCGTCGGCCATTCCACGTTTTACATACCTTCGCTAGTGTCATCGCTAGCTGGGGCAGCAAGGTACTGTGCAGCTGTCTGATATACGTATAGCGGCCAGTTCTGTTCCCCTGGAGACGTTGTGCTTTTGCAGTGGTTTTCTTTTTCTATTGTTTTGTTTGCCAGTGTGGCTATAGATCCACTTGTATTTTTGGTGGCCCTCCTCTAGGCCCCCATGATTGGATTCATTAAGGGGTTCAGCTTTTAATTTGTTTGCTTGGTAGCTCTGGGATAACTGGTTAGAAGTACCTTGCCTGGGCTTTCCTTAGCAGTCAGCCTAAGGGCCTCTAGAAACCCCCATTGGGGCTCATTGGTCTGATGGAGGAGAGCTCTGAATCCCACTTCGCTTTGTGCAAGTTTGAAGGTTGCTTTGTTCCCTTGTCTCGGGGGGGGGGGGGGGGGGGGGGGGGGGGGGGGGAGTCTTTGTGGTGAGACTCGGTTGGCTTCAAGGACTGCCCTTTCCAGATCGGCGGCATTCACATTCACCATCTTTGCCTTTGCCATGCTGCATGTTGGGTCCGTGACACCTTTGACCCGGAGTTCTGTGAGTGGTGTTCATTGCATATACTCCTGTTCACTCAGTCCACTGTTACTTATATTTGGGTGCAGGCAGCTTCAATGTTGCATGCAAGGCATAGGTTGCTGCAACGCGCTTGGTTGGTTCCCTTTCTGGATGCCCCGCAGCTGCCCCGTTTGGATTATAAGAACGCGCCCCCTTGTCCTTCCCCTGCTGTGGTTCATCCTGCTCCATCCTTTCCCCTCCCCTCCTGCTCCTGGCTTCCAAACATTCGAGGGTTTCGGAGTTGGGGCAGGGTTTTCTTTGTAGTGAGACTCGGTTGGCTTCAGGGACTGCCCTTTCCGGATCGGCGGTGGAGGCATTCAAGCCTGTTCCTCCTGCCAAGGCTTTTGGGGCGCGTCAGCAGATTCCCCTTCATCCATGCTTTTCTGGTGGACTCTGCCTTTTCTCCACATGCAAAGGGTTTGGAGGACAGCTCGGCCCCAGGTCCTGGCATGGGGGGAAACTTGAGGCTGAGGAGGAGTTGACCTCGAGGGGGGGGGGGGCTTTTGCCCTGTTTGACTCTGCTTGGGTGTTGGTACCCTTGACCCAGGTCATGGTGACCCATTTGTGTGCGTTAGGGGTTAGAGTTCTGGCTTCCCTCGATGACTAACTGGTCTGGGATCCCAGCCAGTCCGCGTGTCTGCTCGCCAGGGATTTGTTTTTTTCCCAGCTCGCCGGGTTCAGGTTTTTTGTGAACTGGAGGAAGTCTCATTTGGTTCCCAATCAGGTTCGGACTTAGCTGGGTGTTGTGTGGGACTCGTGGACCACTACCTTGTTTCTCCCTCCAGCGGCGTTGTTGTGGCTGCTGTTCCGCCTTCAGCTGTTTTGGAGGGCACCTGGGTCACTCGTCAGTTGCTTGAGCAGCTGTGGGGGAGTCTGAACTAAGCTGTGCAGGTCTACCCGTCGGGTCAGATCTGGCTTCGGTGGCTGTTCTGGTCCCTTCTGCCGCTCTCACGATCACTGGGTTCAGACCCCGGGGGTCTTGCGTCGGCTGCTGCGTCCCCGGCTTCCTCTTCGTTTTTTTCTGGGTTGAGTGCCGTGGCGCCTACCCTCGCTCGATGTGTTCACAGATGCATCATTTCTCGGCTGGGGCTTTGTGACCAGTACTCACCAGACCGGCCAGGGTCGGTGAGGTCAGTCCTTCCATCATGCTCACTGCACAGTGTGGGAGTTCGCGGTGGTGTGACTTTCACTTCAGAGGATTTGTGTCTCGTGGATCAACGATTCGTCTCCATTTGGAGTGCTCCCTTGTGGTTCATTGCCTGAACTGAGGGGGTTCGATGCAGTCCTCAACTCTTTGGGGCTGGTCGCTTTGGGTGACTCGTCTACTGAGTTTTTGGGGTTTGACTCTCCTGGCAATTCATATCCAGGGGTGTCCAACTTCCTGGCAGACGGCCTGTCCTTTTTCATTCCATTGTCCATGGAATGGATAGTCGACGATGCCTCGTTCCTTTGCCTCTGCCGGATGTTCAGGCACACGGATGTGAACCCCTTCGTGTTGGTCTGGTCACAGCGTCTTTCAGTATGTGAGACACCCTTCCCCGACTGCGAGGCCTTTGAGTGATGCCTTTCGGCAGGACTGGTCAAGGTGGGGGTTACCTGTATATCTTTTCCCCGGTTCGGTTGTTGCTCCGGGTCCTAGCTCACTTGGAGACTTACCAAGGGGAGAGTTGACCAAGGCCGGCCCAGCCTTGGTTTCAGGCACTGCTGGCTCGGTGTCCAAACCCAAGGGTCTTCCTACGGCTCTGCCTTTTTCAGCACATTGGTCCGGTACGTGGCTGGTTTGATCTTCTCTGATCTTCGCGTCTGGTCTTTTTGACGCGTGTTTATCACCACTTGTATGGTGATCAGATGGCTTTGTTGATGGTGTCCCACCTGCGAGTTTTGTCTCTGTGGCAGTATGAAATTAACTGGCGCTCCTTTTGGCACTGTTTGTCTCTTCGTTGGTTCTCTTCGATTTCTGATCGGGTTGTTTTGGCCTCTCTCTCTTTTGGTTGTTTCTGGACCAGGGAGCCGGTCGGCCGAGCAGACAGCACACTGGACTTGTGATCCTGTGGTCCTGGGTTCGATCCTAGGTGCCGGCGAGAAACAATGGGCAGAGTTTCTTTCACCCTATGCCCCTGTTACCTAGCAGTAAAATAGGTACCTGGGTGTTAGCCAGCTGTCACGGGCTGCTTCTTGGGAGTGGAGGCCTGGCCGAGGACCGGGCCGCGGGGACACTAAAGCCCCGAAATCATCTCAAGATAACCATCATCTTATGCCAAATACTGTGGCCTTGTATCATGCGGCACGAGCGGAGCCGCTTCTGTTTCCCTTCACGGTGGATGTCCCTTCTGCTCCATTCCTCAAAATTTCTCGAGCAGTGTTTCACCTCCGGCTTACTCATGCACCGCCTAAGCCGTCCTAGTCGTTGAACCGGGTGCTCTCTTTTTCTCTCTTCTCCTTAGTTTGCAGTGGCTCCTTTGGTTTAGGACTGTTTTTCAAAGGCTCTTTCTTGTTGGCATTGGTTTCTGTGGGTCTGGTCGGGAAGCTTCATGCTCTCATCCGGTGCATGGGTTTCTGCTCATCTCCTTATTTTCTGGTGAAGAATGAGACTGTTGCTTTACAGAGGGGTCCTTGGGTTGTTGGCGCTTGGTTGGTTCGGCCAGAGGGTGCGTTCGCCATTTCTTGTGCGCCACGGCCTCTGTGGCAGGGAACGCGCTTTGGGTTGACCCGATTTCCGTTCTTCCCTGTTCCATTGTGTGGGTCTCCCAGGTTGTCTGCAGGATTATTCGGTCCAGCCAGCCTGCAATCTACTCCCGTGCCCACGATGTTCATAAGTTCGTGGCTTTGGCTGCTGTTTTTGGTAACTTGTTTTGGGCTGACATTCGGGCATAGAGTTTTTGGAGGTCAAACATGGTTATAGCCACACGGTACCTCGTTTATGTTCCTAGCCCTTCTCGTGCATGTGTAGCCTTTGTCACAGGTTACAGCCAGTTGTCTCGACATCGAGTTTAGAAGCAAATGGTGGCCGCCTCCCGGGTAAGTCCCTCTTTTCCTTTATCTCTGGTTAGGTAGCTCCAGGAAGCCGAAGGGGCTCTCCACAGAAAACCAGCATTGAATGTAATGAAACGCCATTTTCTGGGTGAGATCTGGAGGCTCCCCTGCATCCCTCCCTTCTTCCGGTTGGCATTTTTTCGTGTTTTTTTATATTCAGTGTCTGAGCTGGGGTTGAGTAGCCGACATTGGAGGTCTGGGATTCCCCCTCCCAGGGAAGGGGAAGTTGCGCAGACAGCGGCGCGGTGGCTGTGGTGACATCGTGCTGTTTTGCTTGTTTTCAGATTAGGGAGTTCTACTTGCTCGTTTGGCTTTCAGTTAGCAATTTTTCACCAGCTGTAGTTTGTTTTGGGATTCCTACCTTTCTGGGTGCCTGACCTAGTAGATGGCAGATAGACTTCTTCCAACTACACGGGGGTATCTATTGGCCATTGCTCCTCATGCCTGTCTGTGGGGGACAGGTTCTGGCTCTGGTCCCCCGGTAGGCTTAGAACTCCATCGATTAACTGTGTTGCCATGGTCTGATACACATCAGCCTGGTATAGCTCAGGGGAGCCTCTGGGTCTCACCCAGAAAATGGTGTTTCATTACATTCAATGTTGGTTTTTTTAAATTCATAATAAGTAATTCAGCAAACTCAAAGTTTGGTTAACTCGATTGCAGGTGAGCCACCATATGATTCGGATTACTGAGCACAGATGGTAGTGCATAACTTGATGCTTATAATTTGCTTTCTACTTGGCAGCCCATCAAGCATCACCGCCTTCCAGAAGAGATTCTTCTCAGTTCAGGCAAATTTGAGCAACTAGATGTTCTACTCCCTAAGCTTAAGGAAGAAGGTAAGGAAAAGTTATAATATAAGATTAAGACATGAACAATTCTTTACACACAGAAATCACAATAGCGTGATGCATCAAATGAACAAATCCACAAGGGCCGTGACGAGGGTTCGAACCTACGTCCGAGAAGATCCCAGATGCTGCCTTAACACTTTCGCGCACCCCCCGCGCCACCCCTCGACAGGGCGATATGGGCCCCAGCGTGTCACGGAAGCACGCGTCAATTCCGAAAAGTGTATACTCTCTTCAACTTTGTCACCTCAATTTTCGTTCTACGAGATTAAATTTGGTATCATTGTGTTCGCAATAAAATTCTCTACAGCACTAAATGCATATAAACTCCAAAAGCCCGGCTAATTACCCGCAGCAAGCAGAGAAAGTGCGAACGAGTTACCCAGGAGCGCGCAAACGCGATAAAATGTTTTCACTATTTTCACTCTGGTCACCTCAATTTTTGTCCTAGGTCTTTCATTTTGGTCTCAATGGGTTCGTAATAGAATTCTCTAGAGGAATATTAGCATATATAATAAAAAACCTGGTCACGCTCCAACCGCCGACGAGTTGAAGATGGGCCACGCGTTAGTTGGGAGTGAGCGCTCAGACGCCTTCCCGCTACACTCCCAATTCCCGCCCACATATGTTTAGTATTATTTCCTTGTGGTAATCTCAATTTTCGTGTTACAGCGCTCATTTAGGTATGAAAATGTTCCTAATAGAATTCTTCAGATGGATATGTGCATATAAGGGCCAATTGAAGAACAACATTGCCTGTACAATACGGGAAACGGGCAAATACCCATCAAGATCGTCAGTCCCATATATCTAGCAATTTCCTTCACTGTCACTGGTTGCCATCTGTGCTTTGTACTTTGCCCAGTACCTGCCTTATTTTGGGAAGCATATAAATTTGTTTCATAGGCAATATATTTCAGCAATTTTTGTGTCAGAAAGAGTTGAATGAATCCAAGAACAGTGGTAGGTACAGGAACAGTCAAGCCTGGTGTACCTGTAAAATTGTCCACAAAGGGTGCAGTATTGTCACTACACCATCCATCATCAGAATCTGTTGGTGTTGGGGTACGTGTGGTACGTCTGGCTCTAGCACGAGCTCCAGTACCGCACCGTGCACGAGTGGCAATCTCGACCTCAGACTCCTCACTGTCCTCACTTTCATCACTATCAAAATCCTCATCGGCCGTCTCTGTTTCTGAATGTTCACTACTTGCATCAGTATCAATACCAACATCAGTTTCATCACTAGATGACCCAGACAAATCGTCAAATACAGCCTGAAACTTAGAGGGAGTTAGTCTCACATGCTTGTACTTCTCCTGTACACTACTCAGCTTCTGTTTTTCACGCCTTTCTTTCGCAATTTTCTTCTTGGAAGGGCCTTGTTCATGATCACTATCCATCGTGGAGTAAGCGTAGATAGTTTCTGAAGCCGCAGTAAGAAATATAGCCACGGAAAATAGCCGAAATGTTCACACGTTTGAGACGCGAGGGGAGGCGACACCGGTCACAACAGTGGAGCGAAAACAATGGGCCGACGGCGTGTGCCGCGCCGCCTGCAGGCCACTAGGCGCAACAAAGAAAATGGGAAGACATCGGCGCGCATTTTAAAACCAGTCCCAAAAAAATCGGATAAAAACCTGATTTTTGGCGAATTTTTAAAGTGGATGACGCAATGCTGCGTCATCCCCGGCATTACCGCCAGTAAACGGATGACGCAATGCTGCGTCATCCTCGAGCGAAAGTGTTAATCGACTGAGCTACGACATGGTAAAATAATTACAACCGGAAGTTCTACTGACCTTACTCGGATCCTGCAGCCTTTCTGAGATATTAACCAGGGTTTTACACAATTCCCCATGCACCCGAGCTCTGCCAGTAGGCTGTTCTACCTCTTCGCCCTTACTTCTACCTCAGTCGATTACGGCAGTGTCTGGGACCCCTCTCAGACGTAGCTTCGAACCCTTGTCACGACCCTTGTGGATTTGTTCATTTGATGCATCACGCTATTGTGATTTCTGTGTGTAATGAAGTAAGGGAACCCTGGTTAGTGTCTCAGAGAGGCTGCAGAATCCGAGTAAGGTCAGATGAACTTCCGGTTGCAATTTACATTACATTGAAAGCAGGGTTTTTCTGGGGGAGATCCCCTTGTGGCACCCTGAATACATTGACATTCTAGTAGGTGCCGTCAGTTGCAGAGTTTATATTGGTCTATCAGGGGCCACGAGCCAGAACCTGGCCCTCCTCAGAGAGGAGCAGGTAGTTTTGGCACTTTGAAAACCTTTTGTGTAAAGTTATTCATGTTTGCCTCCACCAAGGGATGGCACCCACAAAATCAGAAACAAAACAGTCAAAACAGACTACTGTTTGGTTAGAAATAAGACTGCAGCTACAAAACTGCTTAAAGAACTCTCCCAACAATGTAAACAAACATTAGAAAATTGATGAAACTAGCGTGTGCTAGAACACACACCCCTCGTTTGTGAGGAGGAGGAGGAGGAGGAGGAGGGAGGCATACTGGGTCAGCCGGCTTTTCCACCACCAGTTCTTATGCTGATGTAGTACAGTGCTGGTTGCCTTCTCATCTCACTCTGGCTACAGTCTTCTGTCTTTAGCTAAATGGTGTTTGCCTTTGAGGTTGTTCTTGTGCACGTTTGTCCAGCGTGAACCAGGAGTTTAGTGTACTTGAAGCTACATGTGCTTCGGGTTCCCCTTCCTTGTGTGCTCCTTAAGTGCTACCCCTGCACAGTCAGGGTTCTCTTCCATGGTGTGTTCTGGATACTCACTTCCTTAGAGGTCTCTTCACTTGTGGTGGCCCTCACCATTCAGGTAAGCTTGTTGTCTGTGACTGACTGTCTTTCCTTGGATGGAGTGTTTATTGCTGGTGGGGCGCACTGTGGTTCATGCGACCTAACCTGTGCACTGGTGGGCCTCCAGCTTACATGTCTGGTTGGTGCTACGATTCTCTCTGGTTGCTCATTCTTCACAGTTGGGTCCTAGGGAGTTCCAGGCTTTCATTTTTGTCCCTTTTCAGTTTTTTTGTCATTTTGCCTTTTTTCACCGTGGGGGCTTTTCCACTTTACCTTATTAGGGCTCACCTAGGGTTTGTTGCCGTTAACCATCCCCCCCCCATGATGATCTTGGATCTTTCCATTGGTTTCAGGTAGCCAGAGGTGCCTGTACAAGTGTACAGGGGTTACTGGCATAGCATTCCCAGTGACTCGGCTTCCTTCAGCGAACACTTACCCTGCAAGCCCTGGAAAACCCTCTTGGGCTCGGTTGTACTATGACCTCTTACTAGATAATTTCAGACCTGATAATATTAGTTAACAAGAATGTAACAACTCTTGTATATATCTCAAAAAAAAAAATGACATTTTGGTAATGAGGCACAAGAAATACCCAAACCGGTGAGCATCTCACATTTATCTTATACTATGCATTCCTCTTATGAGCCTGCTCTAGCTTCATGGGAATTTGTGGGTTGTTCGTCATCTGTGCCACTGGGCGACGTTCATACGTTCTAGGTCGATGAAATCTCCATCCCTGAGTCATGTTGGACTTGTTCCCTACATGTGACTGTTCTTTCCCACTCTCCTCTTGAAGTTCAGAGGCATCAGGTGGCAACTGCTTTGCATTTGTGGTTCTGTTTGCAGCTGTCTAGGTTGGGTGTCCAGTTGGTTACCCCTGATTTGCCTCACTTGGTGGGACCTGCATTTGAAGGTGTTGGTTACTTTTACCGTGGTTCTGCCCCACACCTCTTTCTTGGCTTAGGCTGATCCAAGGTTTGCCCCTTCTGACTTGAGCTTCTAGGCAGTTGAGCCTCTCTCTCTCTCTCTCATGCTGAGGCTTCTGGGTCATTCTTTTGAAGCCTCTTCCTTGGACTTCATTAATCTATTCCTGGTGGTGAGCATAGGCAATGGCTCCACCGTGGGGCTCTAGGGGAGTCCGACTCGGTCCCCTGGGTCCCATTTGATACTTTGCAGGCCTTAGTGCCCTCTGCAGAGGGTTTTGTGTTGCAGGGGTGGAGGTTTTTCCTTCCACCCCCCTTCCCTGTATGAGTTAGTTGGGTGCAAATGAGCTCCACCTCCGGGGAGGTGGAGCTCATTTCAGAGTGCCTTAGGGCCCTTTGGTTCTGTCATTTTGGAGGTTTCCTTACTCTAGAGTTTCCCCAACAGAGGTTCAGGTGGCCCTTTGATGGGCCTTCTGTGCAACCCGGTTTAGCCCTCTGTTCTGGACCCGGTTTCCTTTGATTTTGGTTCTTCCTCCCCTTCTTGGGTGTGGTCCGATTTCCCAGAATCATCCTGATTAGCCATCCTTTTCAATTGGAACGTGGCATGGTTCAATTCATGCCTCTTCACTCTTGGCCTTTCCCGTGATATGGGTCATTTGCAACTGCATGCTCAGATTCCCCAACAGTCGGCTTCTTTGTTTGTAGATGACCTGCAAGCCCGCTCACATTTGTCTTCTGTCGTGCGTTTCTTGAGCCTCCTGGAGCTTCATTCTGATTAACTCTCAGAGGACATGGGGGCACTCAGTGATGCTCTCTTGCGGAGGTTTTGGTCTCTGCCTCATCTGCCTTCCTTAAGCTGTATGCTCTAATCCTCCAGGAAGTGGTTTTCCCTTGTTTTACACTTCTCGTCTCATGTGTTGGCAGGCTGTGCTGGCCCAGTCTTTGGACTTAGCGTGGGCCCTGGTTCTTATTTTTCTCAGTTTTCTTCGTCCTTGTTTTCTGAGGACAGGATTTTTCCAGTTTTAGTCGGCTATGGTTGCTGTTCGTCAACTTGTGGCAGACTTGTTGTGTTTCAGGGTGGTTGTTCTCGCCTTTCCCAGCTGGTTTGGTCGAGCCAGGTCTTTGCCTGCTGCCGGTTGAAGTGGGTTTCCAGTCAGATCCTCTTCCTCAGGCCTTGTCCTATTCGTTTGGTGAGAGCAGTGATCAATCTGCTCTGAAAGCTAGTTCTCGAGGTTTACACTGATCCTTTTTGTGG